TATAAATATTATCTCAACTGTTATAAATTTAACATTATGAATATGTTTAAATTTTCTGTTGTGATACTAATGATCACATGAAATACTAATTCTAGAAAAAGGCTTCTTCTTCCTTTCTGTACATGATTTTGAGTTTGAGTCTATCAGGTAAGCAGACTGCTCTTTAGCCTGCTGTTCCTGCAGGCCAGGCAATGAGAGCAGGTCAACAGAGTTGCCCTTGCTGTTCTTCTGGGCAGTTGTGGATGCTTTTCCTGAGTACCTAGCTTAACCAAGAGGAATAAATATACTAGAATTTTCCTAACAGACAATCATCTAGAAAGACCCCGATGTTCCAAAAGAGATAGACTGTGTTTCCCTCACAAAGATGGAGTATGCTACTGGACAGTATAAAGAATTACAAGCTGAGAGAATAACATGAGTGACTCTCACAGATTGAGCAAAAGAAACCGGATATAAAGGAAGGACATGCCATACTGAATCAGGAGCTCTCAGGGGAAAGGCCCATGGTGAAAACTGCAAGTTGTTCACATATGTTACTGTGAAAACAGAAGCTGGGGTTCAAACGAAAAGTAAGGGCTGCAACAGCAGTATCTAGGACTCATGGGAAGGTGAATAAGAGAGTTTAGGACTAGGTGCAGGACAAGTCAAACTAGCTAGATAAAAGAGAGGGAAATGGTCAGTGACATCAGGCCACTGCCTCTGTCCCTGCAGAGCTCTTGAGGGCCATGTGTAAGGTTCTATTGTCTCTTCACACATGCTTATTTATATGCAGGTAATTGTAACTATGTGGAAATTGAATCTAAGAAAGCCTCCTCCTGTTTCAGAAAGAGTCCACGACCTTAATTAAGAAGTTAACTAAGAGTATTTGTATTTTGGTGGCCACAAGGAACAAAGAGAACCTAGTATATAGTTAATGGTAATTCAGACATCATCAAGATCAGGGAAGAGTAGCAGACGCAGGGTGAAGGGACACTAGCCCACTCAAGCATGTAGCTCTGGCAGGCCTTAACTTTCTCTCCCACTCCCTCTGCCTTGCTAAAAAACATTCCTAAAGCTAGTCATCAAGATCTATTCCCTTATTTGACCACTTCCTCCTCCTGAGGCTGACAACCAAGGTTCAGCTATCAAAGTATTAAAGTCTAGAAATCAAACCCCCCCCCTTTGGATCACCTAATTAACATGCCCAATCAAAATACACCTAGCCCATTCTCAGCTAGCCAAAATACATCCTAGCCCATTCTCACACAATCGTCCCCTTTTCCTCCTCTTAAAAACCACACCTGCAAGATCATTTGTTGTTATTTTTTGCCTGAGTCAGAAAGTAGTCATTAGCTTATCTTCCCTGCTTAATAAAGGCTCTGTCTATGAAGATGAGTATCTGGGTGTGGTTTGTACCTGATCCAGGGTCTGGGAGGAAGCACTACAAGGAATCTCCTTCACAGGGGATAGCCAGACTCCCAGGTAGTTCGAATGAGAATGACCCCCATAGGCCCATACATTTGAACACTTAGTCCCCTGTTAGTGGAACTGTTTGGGAACGGTGAGGATCATCTAAGGTGGGTTTTGAGTTTTCAAAAAATTCATTCCATCTCCAGGGCACTCTCTGTCTCCTTGTGGTTCAGGATGTTAGCTCTCAGCTGCACCTCCTGCCACCTGTCACCAGCCACTGCCACTCCATCACCATGAACTTTAACCCTCTGTGGGGGTTTGAATGAGAATGGCCTCCACATAGGCTCATATGTCTGAACACTGAGTCCCCAGTTAGTGGAATTCTTCAGGAAGGATGAAGTATCACTAGGAGTGAACTTCGAGGTTTCAAAATCCTGTGGCAGGGCCAGTCTCCCACCCATCCACCCACCCCTTATCTCTCTCTGCTTGTCTGTAGATCAGGATATAAACTTTTAGCCCCATGCCTGCCTCCCTGCCGCCATGCTGATCATGGGCTCAGCCTTGGAACTATAAGCAAGCCCCCAATTAAATGCTTGTTTTAAATAAGAGTTCCCTTGGTCACCATGCCTCTTCCAGTTTACTTAGGTAATATTATATCTTTTTGGGGCCTTTGATGGAGTTGAAGACTAGATACTTATAGTTTTCCTTAGTTATGACAAAAGATAAATTAGATACAAAACTTTAGATTCACAAACATAGGATAGATGATAGATTTTTTTTTTAAATTTTGCCAAACACAAATAGACTAAATATTGTAATTCTTGCTTGGTAACTGTTTTGTTATATGTAATTTTACTGTGTTAAAGTTAAAACCTTTCTTTTCAATTAGACAATAAAGAGGAGATGATGTGGGATGTCCTTCTGTATGCTGTGAATGTGTGTTGCTATTATTGGTTGATGAATAAAGCTGTTTCAGCCAATAGCCAGGCAGAATAGTGCCAGACAGGAAATCCAAACAAAGATACAGAGAAAAAAGAAAGCGGAGTCGGGAGACATCATGTGTCACAGGGAAGCAAGATATGAAGTAACAAGTCACGAGCTTTGTGGTAAAAGATAGAATAATAGAAATGGGTTAATTTAATTGTCAGTAATAAGCCTGAGTCATTGGCCAAACAATTATAATTAATATAGGCCTCAGAATGATTACTTAATAAGCAGCTGCGGGGGCCCGGCAGGTGGCCCCTAGTGATCTACTTCCAACCATGCCCCAGGCTCTTAAAGACTTTACAGTCTTCAAAATAGAGTCACAAGCTAGGGACTCATTTAAAAATGAACCCATGAGAGGCATTTCAAATTCAAACTCTAAGTCTGGGCTGTTTATTTTTTATCTGCATGTGTACATACCTATGCATATGTGTGAGTGTGACACGTGTATTGAAGGGGTTAAATTCTCCCACTCTCACAGCTGAGTTCTCTGAAAAGGACAAAACAGACATCTCTCCCACAAAGGGCCATTTATCTGCAATGACCTTATATTCAGAGACGAGGCCTGAGCCAGCTTCACAGTGTCTCAAGGACAAATCCAGCAGCCCCTTCTGAGTCACATCGAAAGTGGGACAAGCTTGTGCAAGTATGTCCAAAAAATGACGACTAAAAATCTCAGCCAATTAAAAATATACTAACATAGCTGCTGCTTGTTTAACCAATCATATATGAGATGACCTAACAATTCCTGAAATTCCCCTTAGCTCTACTTAAAAGGAGCCTGCACACGCCTCTCAGGGTCTCTGTCATTTTGTACAGGTGAACAACCCCACATGCATGCTAGAATATTAATAAACACTCTTTGCTTTTACATACTATTTGAGTCTGGGGTCATCCTTCCTCTGACTGTCTGTGTGTAAGTGTGTGGGCCTTTGCAAGTGGAGGCCAGAAGGAGGTGTCAGGCCATTCCTTGACCTGGAACTGTTACAGATGGTTGTGAGCTACCATGTGGGTGTTGGGAACTAAACCCTCGAAAGAACAGCAAGTGCTCTTAACAGCTGAGCCATCTCTCCAGCCCTCCAGGATCCATCCTGTTCAGAGCTACCTGGTGCAGCCTGCCCTCTACCCTAAGTAGCTAGGGCTTCCTCATATCCCGTGTTTCTTGCATGGCTTCTGAATGTACAAGGGAATGTAGGGAATGTTTTCCTGAAGAAATCACACTGCCTTACCATCAGTGGAGAAAACCATCATGTAAGAAGGTAGAAGTAGAAGCTGGGTAGACATCTCATGCAAAAATGTGCCTGCTGGATCTGAGTTGGATCCCACATATAGTGGTAATACTAGTTCTGAGAAGGCAGGAACAGAACATCACCTGGAGCTGTCGGCCAGGTTAATATTGTGGAAATCCCATGCACTCCAAGTTCAGTGAGAGATTGTCTCAAATAAATAAACAAACAAAAAGGGACCGCCCCTGGTCTCTACCAGCAACTAGACACAAGAGTATGCATGTGAGCATGCATACACACAAATGCACACATGCACACCCATGGCTAGAAAGGACAGATGTACAAAGGCCCCTTGGCAAAATGAAGCATCAGTTTGCGTGAGGGAGCATGATTGGTGATTTAAGTGCATATCTGACTGACAAAAAAAAAAGCAAGAGAGCCTCCGCTGCGACCGGCTAGCAGTGAGGGAGGACAAGGACAATTCTCAGATCTCTGGTTAGTCCAACACAGGAAGAACCTTAGGCAGCTAACAAAAGAGGTGCGGAAGGACAGGCTGAGAACCAACAGGCCAGGGAACTGGCTGGGAAACTCCAGCTGAGAGGAAGGAAGATGGGCTAGCCAAGGACCAAGGGAAGGGTGGCTGGGGAAGTAGCAGGAGCTAAGAGAGGGGAGGACACAGCAAGAGCTGACAGCTTAAACCTCTGGTGGTGGCACAAGCCTTCAATCCCAGCACTCTGAAGTCAAAGGCAGGAGGATCTCTGTGAGTTCGAGGCCAGCCTGGTCTACAGAGCGAGTTCTAGGACAGGCTCCAAAGCTACAGAGACACCTGTCTCCAAAAACAGTTGACAGCTTGGTGAGAGCTGAGCCAGGAGGGTCCCTGCCCTAGAGATGTCTAGGCTCCTGGAAGGTGCAGGGCAGAAAGTTTAAGCTTAAGACAGAGAGCAGAGACAGGTGGTGGGGTTTTGGAGCGCTCAGGGGAGGTAATAAGAGGGTCTATGTCTGCCAGGAAGGGGTGAGGAGACAAACAATACCAGAAAACTCCAGGCCAAGCAGGCCGCACAGAGCAGACAGGGCGGACTTGGGAGGACCTGATACAGACAGAATCCAAGGGAGCTGGTTGGAGTGGGGGGAGAAAGGGAGGTAGGCTCTAGAAGGGAGCTTGGGAAGGGGTGGGAGAATGGGGCAGAAGATAGGCGTGGCAGGGTAAAGGGGGCTGTGGGAGACAGAAAGGAGGACGGAAATGTGGGGGGGGAAGGCTGAGAATAGGGCAGGAGGGGTGGTCGGAGGATAGAGGGTCAGGGATGGTCAGGAAGGCAGTGAGTGTGGTTCGGGGGTCAATGGATGGGGAAGTGGGCGAGGTGAGGCAGAGTCCGAGGGGGAATTGAGAATGGAAGGACCGGGCGGAGGAGGATCCTAGGGGTAATGAGGGGCGGAGGGTGAAAGTGGAAGGATGGAAAGCATAAAGAGACTAGGTCTGAGGGGTAGTGGAGGGGGTTGGGGAGAACGAGGGCGGGATATGGGCCGGGTAGAGTCAGAGGGGCAGTGGGGGAGGCAAGGGAGGGAATGGGAGGATGAGGGAGGAGCATGACAGCGTCCCAGGGACATAGTGTGGGGAGGGGGGATGGGCGGAGCAGGGTCCGAGGGACAGTTGTGGGTGGTGATGAGGGGGGAGGATTGAAAGTTGTGGAGGCGGAGCAGAGGGGGAGGAATCCCGGGCCTATTCTAACTCCACTTTTTCTCTTCCGCACAGCGGGTTTCCGCTTCCCTCCTGGGCACTGGGTGAGGCAGTGAGGCCGAGGCTCGCAGAGGCAGCGCCGCTATGTGGCCCCCGGACGCAGAGCCGGAGCCCGATCCGGAGTCCCCGGACCGCCACCGCCCCCAAAGTGGCAGGACAGTGCCGGCGCTCCGCGCCCTGTTGCCGGCGCGCGCCTTCCTCTGCTCGCTCAAAGGCCGCCTCCTGCTGGCAGAGTCGGTGAGTGCGCGGGTTCCCCGGGTGCCAGAAGCCCCGTCCCTGTAGCCCAAGCCCCGGTTCCTGCGCCTCCAACCCAGGAGAGTCGCGCGAAGTTTGGCCACCGTCCCCAAACTTGGGGCAGCTTTTCCGTAGCTGAGCACGAGTCAAACTCAGGCCGGAGCCGTGGTTTTCCCAGCTTCTCCAGCCTGTGAGGCCCTCGAAAGGGACCAGAGAACACGGGTTTGGGGACTTAGTCCCCGCTGGCGCCGCGGCCTGGCCGCTGAGTGACCCTGAGCTCCTCCTCCCTGTGCTCACTTGGCTCCTCCTGGCTTTGGTCCCTGTTCCGCACACCCTTCCACCTCCCTGGGTGAGACCCGGGGGTGCGGATCCTGCGGAGTGGGACGAGCCCCCGGGGAGTAGGTGAGGCTGGGCTGAGTAGTGAAGGTGCAAACAGACTGACTGTCTCGGGGTAGTGAACCAATGGGGTGACTTCATCCCCTTCTTCCCCCCTCCCCAGCCATGCTCCTTCCTCCTTCCCACTAGTCCCCACCCGACTAGGAAGGTCTCCTTTGTCCTCTTAACACTCCCGCATCATCGCATGGGGCGGGAACTGGCATGGGGCCTACGGAGATGGTGAGAGGGTTGGGAGGAAGGACGCTCGCTGGAAGGAGGAAACAGCCCTTGGCAACAGCCACTTGTTGCTTAGATCCCTAGCAACTCGATATCTGATCTGTTCCCACTTAAGGCGCCCGAGGGGAGGGGGGCACGGGGACGGGACAGAAATTGCCTTTAACTTAATCGAGGGGCCCTGAGATTAGGTGGGAGGATTTCTGCCCTTAGGACTTCTCCCTTGTGCCTCCAGGACACATGGAGGAGACATCAACCCTGAGGCCACTGGTAGAATTCAATACTTTGTTCCAGGAACTTTGTACCAAGCAGACCTAGAGCCCACTCTTAGATTGGCCATCTCAGATCTCTGGAAGCCACGGGGGTAGGGGAACTTTGAATCATTGACTCACAGGCTATTGAGGAGGCTTCAGCCCTACCCTACCCGTGGAGAAGGGGGGAGTGCCAGTCAGAACTCAAAAGATGTCCTTGGCCTAGCTAAGTGCCAGAAATCCAGGCCTAGAAAAATAAGAAGGGTAAGGGGTGACTTCAAAGGACCCTGGTCCCATGAAAGTAGGGAGTCTGACATGGATAGGAAGCTAGGGGGAAGTGGACACCAAGAATTGGGGGAATAAGAAAATTTGTGTGTGTGGGGGGGGGGTTCACCATAATCAGACTTTATTGAGGGGGAGAATGAGAACAGAAAAGGGAGAGACATAGAGCAGCCTTTTAGCAAGGAAACACAGTGGGAGCTGATGACCTGGAAATCTCAAAAGCCTTTCTCTAAGCCTTAGTGTCCTGTTTGCCCAAGAGAAGCTCAGCTTCCCCCATGGCATTTTCAGGGAAAGGGGTGGGAATGGGATCCTAGAGATCAGTTCATTTGTCTGAAGCAGCCATAGTACTTCCTATGGGACATCAGAGTTTCCCCTTTAGGCACCTTAAAGTACTGAGCCATGGACAGACTCAAACCTGGCCGTAGTGACTGATATATGCCAAAGAAGATAAAAAGGCCTTTAATGCCCTAAGTACAGATGTGACAGCGTCCTGTTAGCTGGGTGACGCCAAGTCTGCTCCTTTTAAAGATAGGCTGTGAGTGACACATGATGGTGTTGAGGAACAAATTCTATTAGTCGTAGAAAGAATTAGCAAGAATTGGGCTTGAAAAGCCTCTGACCTATCATCTTCATCTTGTTTCCCTGCCATGCACAAAGTCTGAAGGACTAACCAGCAACCTTAGCATCCTCCACCCTACAGCTTTGTGGGTCAGGCTTCTGCAGATATAGTATAGTTAGCTCCACCTTTCATACAGGCTATCTGAACGGTACAGCAGGGACCCAGTGTCAATGCTGTCTCCAAGGGAGTTAGAATTTTGTTGAGATAGGGTTTCATGTATCCCAGTCTGCCTAAAACTTTCTACATAAAGCTGAGGATGACTTTGAACCTCTGACCTTCCTGCCTCCACCTCCCAAATGCTAGGATCACAGGCTTGTAACACCAAGCCTGGTTTATACGCAGTGTGTGGGATCAAACCCAGAGCTTTGTGTGTGCTAGACAAAAACTTTACCAGCTGTGCTACATTACATCTCTGTCCTCATGCATGGTTTTTAAAATGAAGATTTGTAGATGCACAAGAGTGTCAAGAAATCTCTATTAACAGCCTTGCATCCACCAGCTGAACGCTACAGTGGCTAACACTGCTCTAGCTGCTTTATCTTCTGCATCCACCAACCTCCCTTGTATTTCCCTACATTTAAATTCAATTGTAGACATCAGTACATTTCAGCTTCAAACACTTCAGTATGCATATCCTTCTTAAATGAACTTAGGGTTTTCATGAAAAGCGCATTATCTTAGGTTTTGGGTGTGAACTTTTCAAAGCAGAAGCTTTTAACTCCAGCTTGCACCCTTGTGGACATACCTGAGTTGGGTATGTTCGATTGTAAAGCCATGAGAGGAGCAGCCAGCCCCACTAGGTGGCCTGGTGGGGTGAAGTAGGAGGTGGGTGGCTATAGCTTCAAGATGAGGTCCTAGAAGGGACTCAGCAAGGTATGTGGATCAGGGTCCTGTCCTGGACTGGGGGAGTGGCAAGAGGTTGACTCTCCTTGCTCTTCCACAGGGTCTTTCTTTCATTACCTTCATCTGCTATGTGGTATCCTCAGCATCTGCCTTCCTCACGGTACCTCTGCTAGAGTTTCTGTTGGCTGTTTACTTCCTCTTTGCTGATGCCATGCAGCTGAATGACAAATGGCAGGGCCTGTGCTGGCCCATGATGGTAAGGATCGGGGATCCAAGATGAAAGGGTTGCCTGTCACCTGAAGAATCTGGGGTTCTGCAATTCAGCCCTGCTATCTTCACCAATGGTGGGCAGTTTTAATTCAGGGCCCTCACACCTCCACCCCTGCCCACCCAGCAGCAATGGGACAATGGGACCTGATGCAAGTAGTAAGACCTCCAGAGTCTGTGACACTGGGCACCCAAAGAAGGCTCCTGACCACCAGATGGAGCTGTTGCTCTGGAGGAATGTGCCTCAGCCACAGGCATTCAAGCCATTTCCAGCACAGTGGGGACTTGTGGGCCTTCCTAGGTTCTAGGCATCTGGCACCTGGCCTTGTTTAATCACCTGAGGATCTTCCAGTCCTGAAAGAGTGCTCTTTTAGTGGATAAAATGCATCACAGAGAATAGGCAGCAAAGGCTAGGCTTGAACTCTGCTCTCTAGAATTTATCTCCAGCATCCATGTAACCACCTAGTAATAGTTGCCCTCAATGCAGCCCCACTATAAGGACTAAGCAGAGACTATGATCATAAATGGATCTCGCTGTGGCAAAGCCAAGCCTCTTGGGAAGCTAGACTTTCTCCACTTCCCATTTCTGCCAAACTGCAGAGCCAGCTATAGCATAGTATACACCCTACTTGCTAGCCACAGGGCAGAGAAAATCCAGCTGGACCAGGGATGGGGCAGTATAAGCTGCCTGAGGCCTGCAGAACAAGAGACAACTAGATCAGGGCCAGGCCATGCAGGTAGAGCCAGGACAGGGACTCCATGGGTGCTAGAGCTAAGTGTGTTGGGCCCCCTTGTGTGCCACATTGTGGGAGGTCGGAACAGGGTGGACATGTCCCTCTCTCCTCAGGATTTCCTGCGCTGTGTCACTGCTGCCCTCATCTACTTCGTCATCTCCATCACTGCTGTTGCCAAATACTCAGATGGGGCTTACAAAGCAGCTGGAGTGAGTGGCTGCCCTACCCCCTGGTGGACATACCCAGCAGTGCCCCTTCCCTGATGCTACAGGTCATTCCCCTTCGCACCCACTTCTATAGTGGGTCCCGGGCATATCCTGCCCCTGCTTAGGCTCTGGGTCCCTATGTGGGTCTCTGCTGTTCCAGTCTAATTAAAAATTGTCCTGAGTTGAGAGGCTGTGTCTACCAGGCTCACAGCCCATCTCCCTCAGTTGCCATAACTCAGAAAGGCTGTGCCTGCCCATCAGCCCTGGTTGGGCCATTTCCTCAGTGTTGCTTGCATATGCCCAGTTTCCTGGTCCAGGAGCCCTGAGTCCTTGTAATGTTCCCATCCATTCTGTCCATGTTCCCTGCCATATGCCATGCATGTATCCCACAGGTTTTTGGCTTTTTTGCCACAATTGTGTTTGCAATTGACTTCTACCTGATATTCAATGAAGTGGCCAAATTCCTCAAGCAAGGAGACTCTGCAAACGAGACCACAGCCCACAGGACAGAAGAAGGTGAGTAGCCACTCCACATGGTCTCTGAAGAACCTCGCTGGTCACTTAATTTAGGACAGCTGTAGATTTCTGCCCTTCTGTGGGGACACTTGGCTAGTTTGAGGCTGAAGGAAAAGTGGGAAATGTTTTGAGGGAAAAGTGAGTATATGCCTGTACCTCTGGCACTGCAAGGTACCCTAATGTTCCCTGGGCAGCTTGTCGGGACACCAATCCATTTGGGACCAACCCACCTCTTTTTCCTTTCCTGCTTGGAAGCCCACAGTACCCAGGCAAACATAGGCAGTATGACTTGGGTTTTGTTTGGGTTTTTTGTTTTTGAAACAGAACTTCACTCTGTGTAACTCAAACTGGCTTAGAACTTACTTCATAGCCTAGGCTGGTCTCAAACTCATGGCAACCCTTACCTGGCTTGTTTGGATATTTTTTCCAAAGAAAGTACATCTGGGCCAGGTACTTTTCTGGAACAGGCCAGCAGTGCTAGACAGAGTTGTTCTCAGGACTGGTCTAAGCTGTGGATCTTCCCCATTGAGTACTACATGTCTGAAGTAGGACCTAGTTGGTAAGGTTTAGGGACCACCAGCTTCCCACTGGGATTCCCAGACACTGTCTGGCTGCTAAAAATGAATGTTACCCCAACTTATTCCTGATCTGTGACAAACAGGTTAAATGCTCCTGGATGCTGTCTTCTAGGCTTTGGGACCTGCACCAATTGCTGGTCAGCCAGCTCAGGGATCAGAGTATAAATGTCCATGGAGACATGCATTTTGAATATTTGGTGTGGTTTTAATATAAAAGTTCTTTTTGCAGCAAAAGTATTCTTATATGTTAGATGTGACTATAGCAAAATTTCCCTACTTATACAACCCTGGCTAATGGATGAGGGGGAAGAACCAGGGCTTGGAGAGGGAGGTAACCAGCATCAAAATACAGCCACCAGTGCTAGGGTCAGATACTGGTGAGGCATGAGGTTCCAGGAGGCTCTACAGAATCATCTTTAAAAAGCCAGATTCCATGAGCCATTAAAGTTACACCACTAACTGACCCTGACATGTTTTATATTCATTTCACAACACAAAATATATAGCTAAACTCATAAAATAGCTTCACAAACAAACAACTAACTAAATAAGGCTTGCCCATTTTCTAGTGTATTTTAGTTCAGGGACAAGAAATTAGTTGTCTTTGCCTTGTCTTGTTGAGTAAGGGTGGAGAAAGGAGTGCAGGTGTACAACTCCAACATCCTCAAGTGAGAGAGGGCATCTTGGGCATTCCTGGACCCCCTGGGAAGGAAGCATTTGGGCTTTGGGCTGAGTAGAAGTACCTCCTCTACCCCCTTGTGCCCCAAGGCCCAGCCTGCCATTAAGATGGGAGGGTGCCTGCTGGCAGTCTGGGGGTTCTTCCTCCTACCCCATGCTCCAGGGACTGGTGCTAGCATCTTCTCTTTTCCTTTCAGAAGATAATTCCAATTCGGACTCGGACTCGGACTGAAGGCCTATCTGCACCTGGCAACTGGAGCCACTCAGGCCTCCCACCCATACCGTCCTGGTGGGACTACAGGGGCACAGCAGTGGATGTGATTGCCCACATAAGAGCCAGTCTCTCGAGGTGACACTCCTGAGCCTCAGACTCAAAATTGGCTGTGCTGGCTTTAGTGCTGCTGAGCCAGCACATTAGGGCACTCTGAATATCCTACCTTCTCCCGTTTCCGTCCTAAAGAAGACCTTGAGTCTTTTAGCCTCACTGCCCCACAGGCACATCAACTGGAGGCAGTCACTGCAGTGCATGTAGCTGTCTTTCACTAACCAGGAAAGACAGAAACCACAGCAGGCTGACCCAGCCAGCCTCAATGGGCTCTGCATGGAGTGCTCCTATTCACACCTGCACTTTGTTAACTTTCAGGAATCTTTGTTCAAGAAGTTTTCCTTCTCACTGTGAAACGGGGGAAAAAAAAAAAAAAACCTAACTAGCCAAGTCCTCCATTGTAGGTCTGAGACCTTTTCAGAAAAGAGCCCAAAGGCCTGTTTACCAGGGCCGACAGGGAGCCAACCAGTGCAGGGGCAGTCACAAGTGGCTGGGCAGGCCCAGTCAAGCCCTCTCCTCCTGGGGACGCTGCAAGATAAAGTGTTTCCTCTGAACACCTGGGCAGGTCCACTGGTAACGTGGGCCTTCACTTGGTCGCTGATACTGTGTATGTTGTTGATGTTTTCTAACATTTTGTAATTTTTTTTTATTCAAAAGCAATGTAACATGGCATTTTCTGTGATCCACAAGGCCCCATGAATGTCTTGGGCCCATGTCTTGGGCATTTGTAATCTTCTTCCTACCTTGCATGTGAATCCTCTCCCTAAAATAATGCCACAGTGGATTAAAACAAACTGACTACCTTCTCGGAGTGTGCCTGACTGAGAAACTCACCCGCTGCCTACAGTGACTGCCCATGTCAACACAAGCAAGCACAATGGGTCCAGGCAAGTCACCTCTGCTGGGCATCAGGGCAGCATCTGATCACTGCTAATGCCTTTTACCCATTCCTACAGTCAAGGCAGTAAAGGGTAAGCAGACACCCTGGTTAGGATGGTATCCTGCAACAATTGAAACTTGGGGCTTCATGAGCAAGGAACCTCAGAGCAGATGCTTCGAGGACCCCAGCCAGTGCTCAGGCCCAAGCACACGGACAGCAGCAAAGCATTCCTTCAGCTCATGGTTACTGCACATGCACCAAAACACACAGAGGGTCAGACACAGAGGCCAAGAGGCTGTGCAATGCCCTGATGCCTGGCGAACTGGTACTTCCACAGTCTGGTTACAGCCTGTTGCCTGTGGCTCCATGTCATCCCCAAAGCAAGCTTGGTGCAAAAGTGGGATCTAAAGCTTTTGGGGAGAAAGAAGAGACTAAAACATTTTTATATGTCCATTTATTAAACAAGAACTCCTTCATGACAATACAGTATTCATTAGTGATTAATGTTGAGAAAATTATTTCCTTCTACATACAAAAATACAGATTTGAACACTATGAAAACAATCAAGACAAGTACCATGAAAAATTGGTCCTTCAAAGGAAATTGGGGAAGCTGAGGGCAGTGTGAGGCTTGGTCTGCTGTCAGGGACAAATCAAGGGGAGCAAATGCCATGGGACTCCCACATCACTTACTTAAAGCACAGGGTCAAACCTGGGAGTCAGGGGAGGCCCACCCATGGTGGCCATGTCAGATGGACCATGAGGCCAAGTTCAGTACTGCAAACAATACAAACCAGTTTATTCAACAGCCTTCACCTTGGAATGCCCACAGTCATGTCTATAAACTGCCAGAAAAGGAAAACTTGGGCATGGCCATACACTCCTGTATCTCAGCATTTAGGAGAAAGGGGCAGGATAATTGCTACAAGTTAAAGGCCAGCCAAGACTCTGTCTCAAAGATAACCAGACAACAGGAATAAAATGTGCTATTAGCGATGTCGCCGCAAAGTGCCACTAGTCATCCTGGCAGAAAGCTATCAGACACCTGATGACTTTTTTTTTTCTTCACAGAATCACATGTTTTGACTCTTCAAAAGAACAAAAACAAAGAGCTACAAGTTAATGTTTCAGAGAATCCGTACCTTTACTCAGCAACGGCTCAGCGAGTTTTTCTTGACCCAGACAACTCCCAAGATGCAGGGCCAGGAAAGCAGAGTGAGTGGCTAAGTCACCCTGTGCCCTGGCTTTACCCAGACCGCCACAGCAGGGAATCTACTGAATTTTAGGCCAGCCAGAATGCAGGCCATCCACCAGGGGGATCCACAGCCCTACCTGGAATCCAAGTGGGGTGAGCTCCAGAGCAAGGCTGTGGCGCTATCAGGAAGCAGTGGCACTTAGCCCGTCCCAGGAGACAGCCAGAGAACAGCCTGCAGCTGGCTAGGGTGGGAGGGCAAGGAGCCAAATGCAAGCTCTTCCTGCCAGACTCAGCAAGCAGGAAGGCAGGGCACAGGTGAAACTTGAAAAAGCGAGACCACTACCTTCTTATTTTTGGTGAGCAGCAGCTCTCCCAGTCTGACAAATAGTGAATGATGTCAAATAGTATTACAGGGACAAGACTTTTTTTTCAAAGAAATGGCCTCCGACCCTCAGAAACAATCAGCAAAAGTGCGTTGTGAGGAGAGCACAGTGCAAGGGGTAGGAGGAGGAAGTTTGACTTTGAAATTTCAAACACACAGGAAATTTAAGAGGAAAATGGCCCAAATTTCAAGACTGGTATTGTGGAAAGCAACATTGAAAGGACACTATCATGCTACAAAAATAGTGCTATCTGTTTTAACTAAATGTATAACCCCACCCCCCAACTCCATGATTGACAAGAGTGCTTATGTGACACATGGAAGGCACCAAAGGTGAAGTGATTATCATAAAATATACAAAGACAAAATTGCCTACTTAAAAAAAATACAGACTGTAATAAATAGCTTAGTGTTTCTGCCATGGGTTCCTAAACTCCTATGAACTCCAACACACACAGACAGCTTCACTCCCTAGCATCCCTCTAGATGGAGCCATGTCAAACAAAATCAAGTTATTAAAAAGCAATAATTTTAGGCAAACGATCAATTTCATCATGATTTGAATTATTTTTTTAAATGGGTTAGGAATGAAAGAGTTGGGGGCAGGTGGGCCCGGGCCACAGCATGCCCTTGCTCTTGCCCTCTCTAGCCCCGTGACTAGCTAATTTAAGCCCTGGATGGTAGTCATCTTCACTGCCACAGAAAGAGGAACAGAGTTGTGAAACTTGCTAAGTCAGAGGCGGGTGAGTGGAAGGGACCCCTGTCAGTCAGGCCTGGCCCTGCCTTGGGTTGGAGGAGGTGAGGTCATTCCTGCTGGGGTATTAGCAGCATCTCTCTTCGGAAACAATTATGAAAGAAATTGTCCGCCAGACATCCCATTAACAAGGCTGACTGAAATGGCTCCACGCATGTTCTTGCCATAATTATAACCAAACAAGTTCCACTAACTCACCATGGTCCAAGTGACATTAACCCTTAATCAGAGCCTCATCTGAATCAAGTAACCTAATGACACAAATACACTGTTCAAGGACCTATAATCTAAAGTTGATTGTAGGCAAGTGGCTAATGCTTTGAGCTTAATGGACTTGTGCTCCCTCAACCCACATATCCCCTTTCCTCTTAGGCTTTTTTTTTTTTTTTAAATAGGAGAAACTAGAAAGGGAAAAAAAATTCCCAAAGCCTCAGAACTTACATCCAATGCTACATAGGTTATCATGAAATCCAAGAAAATATTCCCTTTTAGAAGAAAATTCTAGATCTAACACTGATGGTATTTTTCCTTCAGAAATAATGGCTACCTAAACACAGCTAGGTTAAATATTTCAAATTACTTTCTCAACCAGACAGGTCTGATTTCTTTTAAAGATGTCTGCTACGATGAGAGAAATGACAGATTAAGGAGTTGAGCACTAACAAAGCCAAGAGAACGGGCCTGTCAGGTCTGCATCCTGTCTGGAATGCACCTGAGGCAGATGTCACCTGCTCAAACCCAGACTAGATGCCAGCACTGAGGGATGGTGGTCTCCAACATCCAGCTTTGACCTCAATTACACTAAGGGAGCATAAGACCTAACTCTTCTGAGGAGAAGGAAGTTAAGGACATGCTTCTGGGGCAGCAGAGGTTATGAACAACACATCAAGTGCCATCTATAATGTCACATTGCTCCTAGTACAGCCTCCTCATGCCAGGCCTGTCATGCAAACCTCATGAGTTCACCAAAGCCCCTGCCTAGCTGGCCCCCTATGGGGGCAAATGCTGACAAAATCAGGGAGAGAAATCCTAGACCATGCAACTTTATGGTAACTAATAGGTACATGGAGATGTCACACACTAGAAGCAGCTTCCCCGCTGCTTGAGAATCAGTCAACAATTCTCTACCCCTTCTGCTATCTGCTTAGTGTCACTATTGCTATGTAGATGACATCTTGAGAAAAGGCAGTCAGGCAGGAACACACTAACCATGAACTACTCTGTGTTCTGAACACAAATGGCAGAGTAGGAACCACCTACATTGTCATTAAATTAGACACAAGTCTCCAGGCTCCTAAGACTGACCCACAAGGAATCTGACATGGTCAGGAATGAATCCCCAGGCCACCTCATAGATAGGCAAGGAATTTCCTCCAAATAGTACAGTTTGTGTCACACACAGAGCTAGCCAAGACTCATTCAAGGCAAGCAAGAATTCACATACATGCAGAGACAAGAGAGACCTTCACTTCTTCTAAGACTGCCTGAACCACTAGAAACTTGAAAAGAAAAATGTTTTCAGGTGAGCCATGAAACTCTCTCCAGAAGCATCCAGCTCAGGGTGGAAGCCAGGGGTACCAGATCTGTCTATGGGTGTGAGCCTTCCAGCCAGGGGCCTGTAAAAAAAACCCAAAGCCAAGTGCTCACTGCACAAGGACCAGGGTGGTCCTTGCTGGTTTCCATGTGCCCAGGCTCTGCCCACTCTGATATTTTAGCATATTGCTAAGAAAGATGTGGGTACTGGGTGTGGGCAACTTACTGCACTCATGCTTTTTTTGTAGACAAAAGCAATCTGCCCTGCATGGCTATCTACTTTAAATGGAAATTCTCTGAAGAGAATTCCATCACAGCCCTTTCTAGGAGCCAATAAGTATCTTTAGGTTTTGACTCTCCATTCAAAAGGAAAAAGGGCTTGCCCTCTGTGCTTTTGGCAGGGAGGGTAGAGGAGGGGAGTGGTAGATGATACCCAGTAAACAGACACAGCGCCAAAATATACTTTCTCTGAGGATGTCAGTATTTACAACCGTCAGAACAACTAAATGCAAGAGGGCTCCAACCCCATGTCTCCATGACCACACCAGATGTCCCCAACAACTATATTTCCCTTCGAGTTTTGCTCCAACTAGGAAAGTCAGTTCATCCCATAGGCAAATGGAAAAATCTAAGTGACTTAAAATGCCCAAAACCTAAGTGACATTGGTCCATAGTAGACTTAAATAAAAACAAAAAAAAATTTTTTTTCCAATTTGCAGAGGCTATTTAAAACTCCAAATCTAGATTATCTTCTGTTTGCGCAGAGGCATGACAGGAAAAATATAGGTGTCTTTGCATTCACTGTAGGCAGCCATATTCCCCTCATGGCTTCTTACCACATTGGTTGTAGAGGAATGGGGCTGTGCATCACACTATTAGAAGGTGTACAAGCCACTCTGGTTCTATGGGAGCTAGTTAAATAGTACAAGGAAATACATATACAAAAGCCACAGGGAAGCTTCATAGCACAAAGGATATTAAATAGTTACTGGGATATAAATAATTACAAAGATAACAATTCTGACACTAAGATGCAACTAACTCTCAAGT